GCATCGGTCGGCATGCCTTCATACGGCGTGCGTCCGAAATGCCCTGCTATGTGGGGGATATCTTCCATAGCGAACGTGGCCCCGAGCTCTAGGCTGGCAAAGTGCCGTTGCAATCGCTGGGCAACTGCACGCTCCGAAGGGGCTGTCCCGTGATGTCACGTAGTGCTGGGAGAACCCGATCAATCTTGCGTCTTTTGGACCCTGCCCCGATACGTCGCAAAGCCGAGTAAGCTTCTGCAAACTGCCGTCGGTCCCAGGCGCTTTTGACTCCCTTGGCAATGGCAGCACAATGCCATGCGGAATCAAATCCCGTGGATTGATGAATTACGTACGTGGCAGCGCGCAGAAATATGTAGCTGGCGGCCCGGTAAAATCCCATCCACCCTTGGCAAAAACTCAGTATGGCTCCCAGTTGGAACCAGTGTCCTGTCGGTGGGCGAAGTAGTTCGGGGGCGATGGGTAGGCGGGCTAAGTATCTGAGTCCCACTAAGTGGTCTTGGTTGAAAGGTGGGTAGGTGCACTTGTCTGTTGGGCTACGTAGGGGCAGGGTAAACGGGGCGGCGGAGTCCACGACTGTGTCCGTAGCCTTCGCGATAGCTCGGCATACACACAGCATTGGGTAGTGAGATGGGCCCTCGCGCCATGAATGACGCCAACTCAAAGTCCGATGGCAAAACCACGCGCCACTCTCAGCACCGTCGGTGGCCCAAGCAGTGAACACACACGTGAGAAGTAGTAGGCCGCACGTCCTTGAGTTCTTAGGTCCATAAGGTCCAGGGATCCCTTGGATATCCAACCATGTTTGGCCTGTCGGCCAGCGTCCGAAACGCTGGGCGGGAAAGCGAGATGTGCTGCACGCAAGATGTGCTGGTTCAAGTGGTCAGCATGGTCGCCCGGGCGGGTTTGGTAGGCGGGCTGAGGCACTGACTCAAGCTCACGCACGAATGTGGCACAACACTCTGGATCGTTGTACTTCGCTTCGTCCACTCGTAAACGGGACCACGTGTGTGCGTGCTGATATGGCAGAGACGGGTACACATGCACATCTGCCGACACCACAAAATGATCATCACTACGCAAAGAGAGATCAAGATCCACTTCCACTGACTGCGGTGTAACGCACGATAGCTGTCCGCATGGGACAGTGATGTAGTCAATGCGATGCCGTGGGTCCGTCCCTTGAGCCCCAGGGGGAAGCCAGGTACCGTGGGCCCCAGAAGCCGAGGGCGACATCGTGGACTGGGCAATTTGTCCCGTGGTTTGCAAAAACTGATGGAAACGCGCACCGGTGTGGTTCTCGTTTTCGGCGGCAACCTCGCCAACATGTTCCGAGACCCTGGAGCCCAGAGTAGCATTGGCATCCAACAAACAGCACAGGGGTGCGGGATGCGGGCGCTGGCGCAGAATGCGTTCGATACTTACCCACCACTCATCAACCTCAGCGCTGTCACGTCTGGAGTGCGGAGCATGCCCAACCAATATGTCGACGCATAGATGTGGCGCACGCACAGCAACAAGAAGATGATGGGAGGCAAAGCTGAGAACACGGAGGTGGCGGCGAGCTAGCGTACAACCACGCACGTACTGAATACCTGTGTGCACCCACAACGCTACCCCTCCTGCACCCTTCTGTTCAGCGGCTGCGGTGAGCACGATATATTGAGCGGCTGGCGTCCAACCATTGCGTCGCATTCTAGTCTCAAGCGTGCCGATAAAGAAAAACTGTCGCGCATCGAACAAGTAGGCCAGGGATAGCATGCGCCCAGGGGTATCCAGTCCTGCTGCGTCCTGATACCGACATCGTATTCGCATCCTGTCTCCCTTCCGTGCTGCTTTCCTTCTGGGCCGTAACGTGAGGACATTAGCCGCTGCAAACCTGACAGAGGCATGGAGACCTGAACTGGAGGGCGAATGGACGGTGTCTTCACTTTCCGAGCTGAGTCCTGCATGCGGCGAGAACGCACAACGGGGATCTAAGAGAGGTGGACATATGCTGGGCATTTCATTCACGCCAACTTTCGGGCATACCCCTTGACCGTCGTCGGCGTTGGCAACAGCAGACATCCACAACCAAGGCACAGCAGCGGCGGCGGCGCCTCCTAGCGCATACCACGGTTGAAAGTCGTCGGGCACCGTCGGTGCCAGGCCCATGTAGGCGAAATGTGCGATGGCATCTGCAAGCCCGTTCCGTGGATCGGCATTGTGCCCCAGGACATGCTTCCAACGCACCGTGGTAAAACAGCGGAGAAGCTTCAGCACCCCATCGAACATCCCAGGATATCCCCCACATGAAGAGTAGTTCGCTCCGCCTTCGGCCGATCTGACTACAAGGATATTGTCCGCGAAGATTTCCAGGGGCCTGGACCTGAATCTGCTGGGAGCCTGCAACATCCATCGCACTAGCCATAGGGCGGCTTGAAATTCAGCAGCACCAGATGCGCTCGGCAGGTCGAGGAGGGAGGGGTCAACACCACATAGATAACCTTCACAGGTGCACTGTTGCGTTGCAGTCACTGAGTACATACACCACGCCCATGATGGTGGTCCACCCAGTACTTGCACCCGAGATCCACCAGATCCGTCCGCATGCACCTCATACCTGATAACCTCATCCTCGGGGGGGGGGAAGGGCACCTCCGTGGGATTCAAAAAAGGTTCGTGTGCCACTATGGAGATAGGGGGAGAAATAGCAGGCGTCGGGCAACTGTCGGGGCCCGTAGAAGACTGAGGTTAGCGTGTGAGCACAGGGCCAGGGCATACACAGGCCTCTTACAATTGACTCACAATCGGGAATGGGGCAAGGCGGCCTGGAGCGAGGGGGGAAAGTCGGATCGGACTCCATCCGATCATGGGGATCTGACGCAACGTCGGCTGCGCTAGCAGCCCCAGGCGAGCTATGAGATGGCTCAGGCATCTCACCCCCAGCAGCCCGCCTGCCCTGTAGCATCACCCCAGCGTCGACTCTCCAGTCGATTCTGCACCAGCACCGCCAACCATCTCGAAGCCGTCGGGCCTGCGGGGGCTGCGATCACGGCTGTGCCGCGTCCGTCTTGCGGCTGCCTCCGTCTCATGGTCGCCGAACTCCGCCGCGATGTCAGCACGTCCAGCTGGTGTCGGGATGCATCCTCGGCCCCGATGCCCACCCAGCTGCTGCTGCCTGGCCATGGCGTCCACGAGCAGTGGCTGACCTGGCGGGCGCCTTGCACGGTCCTGCTCGCGCTTCGCACGGCGCGCCGCGGCGGCACGAGCCCGCGCCGCTGCGAGGTCCTCGCCGTCAGTCCCTGCAGGCGCCGCAGGCACACCGTCAGCAGCCACGGGCGCGGGCGGTGCGGGGCTGGCGGCCGCTGCGTGGTCAGCTGCTCCGTCCACTGGGCTCGCTACCGCGGCCGCGGCGGCGGGTGCGGCGACCGCGAGCTCCTCGGCCGTCGGCATGCGGCCCAGGCGCTGGGGCTGGCCTGCGAAGGGCCTGACCTGCGTGCCACCGCCATCAGGAGGGGCGTGGACTTCGCCAGCAGCTGCTGGGGCCCTTGCTGCTGCCATCGCTGTCTGCAGCGTCGTCAGCATTGCCGTCAAGCTGCTGAGCTGGGCCGTGAGCGTCGCCCGGCCGCTCTGGAGCTCTGCGATGGCTGCCAGCTGCACGGGCGTGCTCTGAGGCGTCTGAGGCGTCACGCCTCCCGCCTCTGGCGCCCGCGCGCCGCCCTCGTGCGCTCCCATGTCCACGTCGTCGGCTGCTCCACCAGCTGCAGGGCCGATCTGCATCGCCTCGAGCTGGTCCAGCAGCATCTTGGCCCTGTCGCGCTCCTTCTCGCGCTGCGTGCACTTCGCATCTGCCTCTTGTAGTCGTGCCTGCGCCTTCTCGACCGCTTCGCGGGCACGCTCGAACTTGCCCAGGGCCTTGGCAACGCATGCACGTTGGCGGTCACAACGTTCACCTGGCGCACGGGCCGCGATGATCATGCACAGCTGGACACTGCACTCCAGCTTTTGACTTGTCAAAATCTCCTCGGAGGCCCCGAGGTCGATGGAAGCTTGAAGTCGCTTCCCTGTCGCAGCAGCAATCTGCCTTAGTGTCCTCCTGTGCGCCGCCAAGGCACGCTCGTCGCTGGGTGGATCAACCCACGCAGGGTGCAGCCTCGCCTCCTGCGGCAGCGCTGGGAGAATCCCTAGCGCAGGGCTGCGCAACTCCTCGCCGGCGTCGGAGACGCCGTTGCCGTCGGGGTCTGGCTCGGGCTCGTCCGCGAAGCGTACCCGCGAGCCTGACCGCGGCCGCTCCTCTCGCCTCTCGCGCTCGCGCCTGCGGCGGCGGGAGAAAGAGCGTCGGCGGGCTGGCGTCCCTGGGGATGTCGTGCTTCGGCGGCGAGGGTGCTGCTCTTGCTGCTGCTGCTGCTGCTGCTGCTGCTGCTGCTGCTGCTGCTGCTGGCGCTGCTGCGGTGAGCCACCGTGGCCGCCTCCTCCGACTGGGCCCGGTGGGCCTGGGTAGCAGCACCTGCATAGCCTCTCCAGCGGGCCGTTGAAGCTGCCACAGTCATCGCACCACCAGCCTGGCGGTGGGGGCGGCGGCGCGCCTTGCCACGGCGGGGGGGCTGTGCCGCCAGTCGCACCAGCGCGGCCCTTGCCGCTGCCTCCCTTGCCCATTGCACTGTGGTGGGCGGCAACGAGGCGAGCGGCGGCCGCAACACGCAGCAGCGTCCGCGACTGTGCCAGTCTCAGGCGCGCGCGCCGATGCCAAGCGGGCTCGGCGCGCGCGCGCCTGCGGGGTCCAGCGCCTCCAGCGGGCCCTGCAGGCGGGCCAGGCGGGGGGCTGCGCGAGCGGGCGCGGCCGGCCGCAGGCCGCCCAGGCGCGGATCGCGCGGGACTGGGGCGCGGGCCAGCGCGCGTGGCTGCTGCCCCGGGAGAGGTCGCCGCACCTGGTACGGCACCCAAAACCTCTCGAACCGGGGCGGCGGCTGAGAGGGAGGGAGGGAGGGAGGGAGAAGGGAATGAGGGAGGGAGGGAGAAGCCGCCTCTGCCCAAGCCAACTGCGACGGCGACGAGGACGAAGACGAAGACGAGGACGAGGACGATGACGACGACGGCGACGACGACGACGACGACGGCGACGACGGCGACGGTCGGCGATGAGGGCGACGACGACCCAAACGAGCGCGTCGGGCTGGCGGACATTGACGGGCGGGTCGGGCCCTGACAGCTGGCTCGGGTCGGACGGTCGTGCCCTGACGGGCGGGCGTGTCGGGCGGGCAGACCCTGACGGGCGGGCGGATCGGGCCGGGCGGACTCTGACGGGCGGGCGGACAGTGGGTAACTTTCGCGGGACCTCGGCAGTCAGTTTCGCTAGATCCTGTCGGTTTGGCTAGACCCTGTCGGTTTCGCTGGAACTGGGCGGTGGTTTCACTGGACTGGGTCTGTGTCTCTAGACCCAGCCGGTTTTGCTAGATCAAGTCCGTTTCGGTGGAACTGGGCACGCGGTGTCGCTGGACTTGGCCGGCGTCGCCAGACCCAAACGATATCGCCAGACCTGAAACGGCAGTTTCGCGAGACACAGTCGACCTGGTCGGTGTCCGTAGACCTGGACGCTGGCGGTTTCGCTGTATCCAAATGGTTTCGCTGGACCCGGGCGGTCGGTTCCCATAGACCCCGTCCTGTGTCGGTACACGAGGTCCCGTTCCAGAAGACACGGTTTCGGACAGCCGCCCACCACCCAGCTCCACTGGACCAGTTTGGAGTCGCTAAACTAGGCCCCGCCTCGGGGACGATCCCCTATCCCGCGCCTTTTGCCTCCTGCGCAGTCGCCGCCCCCTCCGCGCCGCCGCCGAAAGCCTGCGGCCTCCGAGGCCCTAGCAGGAGGTCCAGGAGGACCCCGTCCTGTCCGGGCTGCGCTGAAGCCGCCGCGGCGTCCGCGGCGCCGCCGACGCCGCGCTTCGGCTCCGCGGAAGCCCGGTGCACGCCCGAGAGGAGCGCCGCGGCCACAGGGTGCGTGGCGTACAGCACGCCCAACTGCCGCTCGCGGCCGCGGAGCACCTCCCGGCACCGCTCGGTCACCGCCCGCAGGCACGCGGAGGACACGGCGCGCCGCCGCCCGAAGCTGGCGGCGAGCAGCGGCAGCGCCAGGGCGTCGCAAACGCCGCCCGCAGGCAGGAGCCGCGCCTCGGCGGCTGCCTCGAGCCAGGGGAGGCCGAAGCACACGGCCACGCTCAGGAGCTCGAAGGCGTGGAGCCCGTCCTTGCCACGAGGGGGTCCTCCTCCTCCTCCTCCTCCTCCTCCTCCTCCTCCACCTCCTCCTCCTCCTCCTCCTCCTCCTCATCCTCCTCCTCCTCCGCCCCCTCCTCCTCCTCCTCCTCCTCCTCTTCCTCCTCCTCCTCCTTTTCCTCCTCATCCTCCTCCTCCTTCTCCTCCTCCTCCTCATCATCATCATCCTCCGCCTGTTTCCTGTTGCCAGATTACATGAGAGTGACCCTCACGCTGCCGGTTCCACCAGGGCTGGCCAAAACTCAGGCCTGGGAGCGTAAACTGAAATAGCAGAACAACAACTTCAGGTAGACAGACAGGGGGGAAGAGGGAGGGAGGAGAGGGCATCACATCTACATAACATCATGACCTCAAGGGGGTGCGAAAGAGACGGGTTGCTGGCGGCAGCAGCAGTGAGCGCGGCAGTGAAGTGCACAGCAAGGAACGGGGCCCCTTGGGGCCAGGTCTTCTCGTGGCTGCGGCGGGTCCTTTTTCCTTCGGATCAACTGGCCACCTCGGGCCAGCGCCCTGGAGAGCGCCCAGGGCCCCCTCATCTGAGGTGCCCTTCTTGACAAAGGTGGAGGAGCAGGCGGACTGTAGAGGCGCGGTTGTGCGGGGAGCAAGTGAGCAGCCGTCGCCTAAGTATTCGGGGCGACGGCCGGTGAGGTAACTGCGCTGCTGGGATGGGCCGCCGTGACCAACGCCTCGGCGGCCGCCCGCGGTTCCCCCACAAAGTTGGCGACGTGAGCAGCTTCGGCAGGGTAGGTGGGTGAGGCAGAAGGCGTGCCACGGGAGGCTACGGAGCCAAGGCGCCTGGCAGGGACAGCAGGTCTGATGGCACAGGCCGCGGTGTTCTCTGCGGCAGGCACATGCTGCAGGGCAAAGGAGGGGAGGTAAGATGGCGGTCGTGCGCAAAAACGCAGTGCGTTCGCTGCGCGGTGGTGGCGTGCCCTAGCCACGCTCGCCGAGGAAGATGGTCAAAGGGTCTCTCCCTCTGTTCGTGGGAAACCCGCAGATGCACCCCCAAGGCCACAGGCGGGATCCCTCGCCTGCGAGCAAGCACAGGTTCCCAGCACCTTGATTTCAGGACCGCCCGGGGGTCTTCCACCGAGCGCGAAGGGGCGGCTTAGGCCATCCCGGCGGTGGAGAAAGCCACTCGCCGCGGGCGGCGGCGGGCCGGGCACACTCGCCAAACGGGAAGGCAAAAAGGCCTCCCCTCCTGCACAAATAGATCCCCCCGAGTGGCCCCCACCCCCGCGACTGGCACCCCCCCCTACAAGCAGGAGCATGGCACCCAGACCACGGAGGCGGGGGCCACTTGGGGCAATCCACCGTGCTCGGGGGAGGTTTCTGCCTTCCGCGGCGGCGGCTCGGCGGCCGCTGGCGCGACCTATCCCCCCGCCCCTTCTTCTGACGGTGTAAGCAGGCGACCGAAGGTCGCAGCTGCGCAACACCGCTCCAAGAGAGGTTGTAAGTGCAAGTGCAAGGGCGGAGGTGGGTAACTGAAGACACTTGGGCAGATTGGGCACGACCCTGCTCCTGCTTGCCTCCGGTGGCTGGCTGGCCAACTCGCAGCGCAGTAGGTTGCTGCCGCGGCCGCCCCGGCCATTGCCAGGGCGGCCCGCGGCGAGACCCCGCCCAATCCGCATCGACATCACCCAACCCGCCCCGCCGCCACAGGATTTGTGGCGAAGTGGGGCTAGCGAGAGAAAGCGGGGGGAGCGGGGCAAGAGAAGGAAGTCAGGAGGGAGGGAATGTTGGAAGTTGGCGGAGGCCTTCTGACGTCGGTTGCGGTAGCATATTTTGTGAGCGAGAATGCCCCTGAGGGGCACACTGGTAGCATAGCTTCATCTGCCGCCGTTGACGTATACCGAGAACTTGTCTATGTGACGCGCCGGATAAACTAGCATGGCTTCGTGGGTAAAAAATGCCCCTCGGAGACCCACTGCATAGCAAGGCTGTTCCTGACGTGATCGTCGCTCGTTGGTCCCGCCGTCGGAGAGTGGGTCTGGAGACGATACGTCCAGCTGTGCTGCTGCCGATCGCATCGGCGAGTGCGTACTGTTTGGTCAAAATGAAGTGCCGAGGTTGGCGTCGGAAGGCACCAGTTGGCGTAAGGCAGCCTGTCTGTCGTGGAGCAACACTGGATATGACCGTGCACACTGGAAAGGTAGGCGCACTGACGGGCCGCTGCAAGGTTGGTTCCAGCGGGAGGCGTTAGTCGCGGTTACTAGTGATTTGCTGGCATACATGTTGTCGGCTGGTGATCGCTTATGGTCGTAAGCCTGCAGGCGTCGGTTTCTCTCGTACGGCTATCTGTCGGCTTGATTTGGTAGTTGGTATCGGTCATGGCCCACGCTGCAGTTGTGGATCGGTCAATGCTGCTTAACGTAATATCATCGGACGTCGGGTTGGTCACTGCTTGTTGGTTGCTGGGCTGCTCCTGCACGGCTGGATGCTCTGTCAGGGTTGCCCACCTGTTGCGTCTTTGGTGGGTCCTGGGTCTGCTTGCGCTCGTCTGGCTGCGTCGGTTGCTCCAGGTTGGGCGGATCCGTCGATTGTGTTGCTTCTGGCGGGTCGTCCTGTCGTTCGGTTGATGTTTCAAGGGTTGGGTTGGCCGGGCTGGGTTTCTCTTGCGGCAATCTCCTCTACGGACTGACCCAGTGGGGGAGGTGACCCAGGAGCACAGCCCCCAGAGCCTCCACCTGGGTTGAGCATCTGGTCCTCCTCCGCTGTGCCCTCCGTCTTGGTCCGCATCACGAACGGGGACCTGGCCGACAGGCTTGGCCTGCCGGGGCTGCTTCGCTGGACGTAGTTACTCTCGTCTCGGCTGCTTCTTCGGCCGTCGGCTGAGGGGCCGCAGGCAGGCCTGCCATCATTCTGCCACTTTTGCCTTGCAGGTCTTCCCACGAGGTCTCGGCAGCACACTCGTCGAATGGCACTGACGCGGGTGGCGGTTCCTGAACCGATGGTGGGGACGACCCGAGACCAGAGGCCTCGGAGGCGCCCCCCAGATGGAACTCAGTGGCCCTTTCCCGACTCGGGCGGGGAGTCGACACTCCCGGTTCTTCCGACGGGGCGGTTGCGTGTGCATCCAGCTCATCAAATAGTCGGAGGAACTCACGCAGGCTTCGTGAACGCCGGCCGGCAACGGCCGCCTGTCGGGGTTGCTCGCTTCCTATCACTCGACGTCCGCCTGCGCCTGGTCGGCGCCCGTCCGTGGCGTGTCACGGCGGCCGGGGCCCCCGTTTGCCGGCCATTGTTTCGGACGACAACGAGAGGCTCTTGCTGAGAGTATGCGAAGAACGCGAAGAACGGTTCGGCACAGTCGGGGGTCTCGGTCTCGAAGACACTATGTTGGATTCCTTTCCAGATGTGGCGCTGCTTCTCATCACTTGATACATCCACCTTCGAAACAGGAACCGAGACAGGAAACACAGCTTCGTGATCTCGTGGTGAAGCTTTCGGCTGCTAGCCAGCACTTTGCCGATTCTTCATGGACGCGGGCCTTACCTTGATCCTGTTGATAGGCTCCTTGGTCTGGATACACTGATCGGTCATATTCTGGTAACGGTCCCGAGTTTAGTATCGGAGAACATGTACTTGACGCAATCGCTAAAATGCCCGTCAAATGGCTGGAGGGAGGGCGCGCGCGAGAGGGCTTTTATTTACACTGAGCACAATAAAAGTTGCGAGTTGCGAGTGGTAGGGCAATGTCAATGTTGATGCGGTGGCGCTGCCAACTATCATTTAAAGAGCAAAAGCGGCGCAACAACAGATAGCGAGGGCAGCGTTAGTAATGACTTTGGCGGCTCGTGGCTCTCCCCCTCCTCCTCCGCCTCCTCCTCCTTCTCCTCCTCCTCCTCCCCCTCCTCTCCTCCTCTATCCTCCTCCTCGTCCTCATCCTCCTCCTCCTCCTCTCCTCCTCCTCTCCTTCTCCTCCACCTCCTCATCCTCCTCCTCTTCCTCCTCCTTCTTCACCCCTCCTCCTCCTCCTCCTCCTCCTCCTCCTCCTGCTCCGCCCCCTTCCCATCCTCCTCCTCCTCCTCCCTCCTCCTCCTCCTCTCCTCCTCCTCCTCCTCTCCTCCTCCTCCTCCTCCTCATCCTCGTCCTCCTCCTCCTCCTCCTCCTCCTCCTCCTCCTCCTCCTGCTCCGCCCCCTCCCCCTCCCTCCTCCTCCCTCCTCCTCCTCCCCTCCTCCTCTCTCCTCCTCCTCCTCTCCCCTTCCTCTCCTCCTCCCTTCCTCCTCCTCCTCCTCCTCCTCCTCCACCTCCAGCTCCTCCTCCTCCTCTCCTCCCCCCTCCCCCTCCTCCTCCTCCTCCTCCTCCTCCTCCTCTCCTCCTCCTCCCTCCTCCCTCCTCCTCCTCCTCCTCCTCCTCCTCCCCCTCCTCCTCCTCCTCCTCCTCTTATTGTTCTGATGATTAGTATGTTTAGTATGATTCGTATTCGTATTAGTCGTATTATTAGTAGTATTAGTCTTCTTCTTAGTATTATGAGTATTAGTCGCATTACTATTCGTATTAGTATTGGTGGTATGAGTAGTGTTATGGTTATTATCAGTAGTCGTGTTATTCTTCTTATGGTTATTCTACTTAATAATATGTTTAGATGTTTGCTTCGTTCGATTAGTTTGAGTCGTATTACTCTTCTTATTCGTATTAGTATTATGTGCATTCGTCGTGTTCGTCGTCTTAGTATTATCATCGTATTATTATTATAATCCGTATCATTCGTCTGATCCGTCGTATCATTATTCTTATTAGTACTATTAGTAGTAGTGTTAGTCTTATTGTTTGTCGTCTTAGTATTATTGTTCGAGTTAGTAATATTATTAGTATGTGTAGTCGTATTCTTAGTAGTATGATTAGTAGTAATCCTAGTCTTATTGTGCGTAGTCTTATTCGTCTTAGTATGCGTCGGTGTCTTCTTATTCGTAGTATTATTATTAATATTATTAATAGTATTATTATTAGTAGTAGTAGTAGTATTACTATTAGTATTATTTTTATTGTTATTATCATTATTATTGGTCGTATTCTTATTATTCGTGTTCGTCTTGTTCTTATTATTCGTAGTAGTATTCATCTTCGTCCTCCTCCTCCTCCGCCGCCGCCTCCTCCTCCGATTCCTCCTCCTCGTCCTCATCCTCCTCCTCCCTCCTCCTCCTCCTCCTCCTCCTCCTCCTCATCCTCCTCCTCCTCATCCTCATCATCATCATCATCATCAACATCATCATCATCATCATCATCATCATCATCATCATCATCATCAACCCCCGCCTCGTCCTCC